TTAGTTTCATTCCATTAAAAAAAACCACATTGTAATAACTAGTAGTTCAAATATCTATTTATTTTTTATATGCATTCATTACTGCTGCATATGACCATTTTTGTTGTTGATATCAAATAAAGCTTTTTAATTGTATTAGTCCATCCACTGAAAAGAACAGCTTTGCTTTTCATAAATAACTGCCAACAGAATTTTTAACTCGACTAAAAATGAAGGTTTTTCTTATTCCCAACGACGAAAAACACTTCAGTAATTTTATTTGATATGTTTTGTATAAATTGCTTTATAAATCTAAAAGTACAGGAATCAAAAGTCCAAAAGTAGTTAATCCAATAAATCGCTTTATTATTAGAGGATAATCTTAACATTATGGAAAATTTTGCTGGGGATAAACAGTAGTTGAGAGTTTAAGGCAGACCCAATGCCCAGATAATTTTTGAGTTTCAAAAGAACCTAAATTACGGCCAGTTTTCAATTTATCATAAATAATTAACGTAGGAACTTATGTTGAAAGTTTTTCCAATCTAGAGCTGTAAATCATATTGTAGGGGACCAAATAAAGGGACAACAGTCACGAATAGGTCTAACTAATTGGCAAAAATGTAATTTAAGGTAGAAAATACCAAAATTTTTCTAGTGACGATAAATAAAAAAATATTTTATTAGCCTAGCCTTTAATAATTTCAGGATGACTGTTGAAACATAAGCGAAAGTTTTAAAAAATGCTAAGAAGCTACTGTAGAAGAAGTATTGTCATAAATGTTATAGATAAATTAAACATAATTGAATATTGGTCATGTAGGATTATTAGTATTTTGCATAATATAAGTTTTTAGAACCTAACAGCGTTGTATAGTTGAAAGGAAGGGGAACTAATCGTGATAATTTTTTTGAAAAAAATTTGTCGTTTCTTTTGGAATCTTGGACAGCTCATAATTATGTGTTCCATTGTTTCTCCGCACTCATCGCATATCAGGCTATCTTTTAGTCCTATTTTGCAAAGGTACTTTTACGTAGTGCTGGTCAACGACTTAATTCATAAATATACTTTTTGTACAAGTAACATATTTTTCCACATAAATGCTGACTTACTATGACTTTTATCAGTAATTCTTCTTAACCTACCTGTTATTCCCTGTATTTTTCAGTTATTCGTTCGTATTTTTTTTATTCGCTAACTTGGAATAATAGACCTATTATGTTATAAAGCACTTTCTTCAACAAACACAAGTTATGTCTTTTAATCGTCTAACTTCTTTCGAACAAATATCTATTTTTAAATGAGTTACTTTGACAGATTACTATTTTCACAAAAAAATATATACGAAAAATCGATAATAAATATTTTTGATTACATCCAAATACCTACTGAAATTCAATTGCCTGTATGTTTTATATTATGTTTTTAATTGTTCATCCTCCCGTGTTAAAAAGTCTTTAGTAATTATTTACATTTGGCTCTAATTTTATTTTATAATCATTACTTCGAATAAATTAGTGAATAGATTACTAGAATTCGTGGTCCGATTGATCAAATAACAACTTTCAATTAATTAATCAAGTCAAGGTAGTGGTTGAGATTAAAAAAAAAAAAAAATGGCAAAAAGGAGGGAAAATTCGTAAGGTTGGGTTGAGAAGGGAAGTGTCTGAGTGGATCGAAGTCACGATAGCTGAAGTGGTAGAGCAGCGCGTATTGAGCCGAAGGTCGTGGGTTCGAATCCCGTTCGTGACATTGACTTTTTCATTTCAACCAATACCTTACATAAAGGTTAATCAATTGAAAGAAGTTATTTTTAATCAATCGGTCCACGAAATATAATGGATTTGTTAGTTTATTTTCTCAAATTTAACAAAACAGCACAAAATCAAGAGAAAAAAGGCAAAAGTGAATAAACAATAAAAAATGTACTGTTTTTGATAAATGTACAAAAGAAGCCTTGAGACAAGTTTTCACTAGAAGCCAAATTATAACCACGATGAAATTAAAAGTTTTATTCTTTAGTACTAAATCACTCATTGAATGGAGAAAAAAACAGTAAAACTTGAAAAATGAACATAAAGGAATTTAAATTTATTCAATTATTTGCCGAAATTGGTAGAATTTTTAACGTTATAGCGGAAATGTCAGAAGACATAATTGATTAAATGAACTGATCTTTTTTTGATATTAGTACCATGTATTTAGCCGAAGGTCGTGGGTTCGAATCTCGCTCCTGACACTGACTTTTTTATCTCAACCAATATCTTACATAAAGATTAATTTCTTGAGTAGTATTTAATATTTATTTTTAAAATTCTACATTCTTAAAATATCTTAGCTGGGTTGGTCGTTCTGAGTGATGGTATAGTTTCGCAATAACAGAAAAGTTTGTTTACTCTATTTAATTATATACTCAGGCACACTGAAGGTGGCGAAATGCCGAAACGTATACGAGAAACCAACCTTGTAAGGATAAGCAGACCAAGAAGATCAATATCGATCAAATTTAAAAATTTCAAAGTGAATTTTCCCTCTTCCTTCGTGGTAGGAATGAACGTAGAGCTCCAGTCCCACTAATTCACGTCAAAAGGGATTTAATTGTTTAAAGGATTTTTGAGAAATCAGAATTTAACCAGCCATAAATAGAACAGTCTTTTTACAGTAGATAATTAATGACAAGAGTGTTTATTCATAAAGTGAGTCTGTAATCTTTAAAATGACGTTCAGAGTTTTTCTATAAATATAGGTAAGTCGAAAAAATACGATTTCCACGCCGATAAGACAGTTTCGCAACACGTAACCCTCCCTCAGCCGGTTGATCCATTAATTAGTCGCGATCTCAAGCCATAACTTTTTGGACTGAGTCCACTTCGACTTATCTGTCCTAACCGACTCGAAAAATTAATAAACACGCTATATTTATAATAGGACAGTGAGCAGAAGATAATCTGGCCTTCCTCGCTTGTCCTCGTTGCGTTGAAAAAATACCCAAGAGGAAATCTCACCGGTTTCTAAATGAATAAACATCGAGAAAGTTTAACGACTTTATATTTCTTGTTGACATTAATAAAATTAACGAAATCACTAAGTTAAACTATGGAAGATGGGTTCAATTAAAAAACCCGTTAATCGGCCAGAATATCAGACGAAATTGATTACGTGAAAGTAATGCCGTAATAATTAAAAATTAATAAGAAAAATTTTTCAGGCCGTTTATTTTCGATTTGACTGAATCATGTGCCGTTCTGCCCGGTGCCGAAAGAAACGTAAAGAATGCCCAGCACGGTTACCCATGTTCCGCCCACACTCAGTTCCGATTATATAGGTCAAGACATCGAACCGAAATAGACGTAAAGATGCAAAGTTTTGACCAGTCAAACATTTTTCCCCCGCTGTCGGTTTCAATGGAAACGTCAGTCAAAAATGGAACATCTAGGACATCCCAAAACGCCCTTATTATAGGACAAAATAAAGTTTAAAAACTAATAAGCCCCTTGCAAGTGATAGAAAAAAAACAACTTGGCCGAAAGTCTAAAAACAAAAGTATATTACTTTTACAATTTATATAACTTCCGCCACCCTCTCACCAAAAGTAGGGAGTTTACTGAAACCCGCCAACCGGTAGTCATAACGTATAATATTTTTAGATTTTAAGTTTACTTCCTAGGAATATAGGAGGAACGTTTTATCGCTCCTTTTCACAAAAATACGGTAACAGGTTGTGCGAATTGGGAGGGTGCCTAGAATAGAACAGAGCCCGACCTTCGTCACAGTTGAGAGAAAAGCAAGAAAATAGGAAATAAGACAGGAAAACGTACAGGTGTCCGAGTGAGAAGTGAAGAAAGGTAGTGAAAGAGGAATAACGAACATAATGGTGAGAGAGAAAGAGAGAAGGAATGAAAAAGAGAATGAGGGAAAGCTACATACAGAAAAAAGAGAGCGTGTGGATAATTATAATAGCAACAGTTTGAAACAAGTTTGAAATTTTCGTTAGAAGCAATTTGCCATCAATATTAATTTAGGAACGAACATGTTTTGTAAGCTGAAAGCCTACTGATATCAAAAATAAATGTTTAACAATCATCAAAAATCGCAAAAAGGCCAATTGTTTAAAATATGTAAGCTTTATATCTAAAAGATACTTATTATCAATATGGATATTAAAAAAATCAGTTCATTAGCAGATCTATCACAAATTTTTGAATATTCTTAACTTCGAGAGCGAGAACAGGGACAAACAGAGAACAGGGTCGTCTCCGCCTCATCGGGTTTCATATAATTATTTCTTTGGCCAATGCATAAAGTAAGGTCAGGAAAAAAAAAAAACAGGGACAAAAGTAAAAGAACAAAAGAAGCTAGTGTGGTGAGTGTATGAAAAGAAATAAGATAGGAAAGGGAGGGAGAGAAGGTGTTTGTGATAGAGAGAGGAGAGACAGGAAAGGGAGAGAGAGAGAGAGAGAGAGAGTGAGAGAGGGAGGGAGAGAGAGAGGGCGTGAGGGAGAGTGTGTGTGTGTCAGAGAGGAGAGACAAGAAAGGGAGAGAGAGAGAGAGAGTGAGAGAGAGAGAGAGATTGAGAAACAGTAAGAAGCTATAGATGTTCTAAATAAGGATTAGAGGATAAATAGAGAGAGAGAGCGTGTGTATGCGTGAGAGAGAGATGTAGAGGGAGAGAGAGAGAGAGAGAGAGAGAGAGAGAGATGTAGAGTGAGAGAGGGACGGAAGGAGACCAAAAGAAAGATTTTAATCTAAGGGATCAGGAGATAAAGGATTTCATAGATAATGAAGTGTTTGAAGGGTGTGTTGTTAGGACCAAAAGTGTAAGAGAAGAAATTGCGATAAGAACAAAACATTTGTTGAGTAAGGGACGAGTATATAGACAGGTAGGGAGCAAATAAAAAAATAAGGGTTGTTAAAAGAGAAAGAGAGAGATAACATATGCTATTGATATCAATTCTTATTCTTGCTACTGATTTTTGATGTCATTTAGATAATATCTTAAAAATGGAATAAGTAAGCAGAGTTTATTTTACAATATTTTATTCGTAAAGTATTTTATTTGAACACATAAATAAAAGAAGTGTGTAATACTTTGAGGACAATACACACTGAATTGCTGTTGTTCGTCTTTTGATATTCGTTGTCATAACACCAACTGACCTACTAATTCCTGCAAGGGTAACACTGGTAACTCTGGGGCATCGAATTGACAGGGATTCCACATTCGGGCTGGCAGCAGCAGTACTCGATTTTGGGAGCGGGATTTCTGGCCAAAGCATCTTCGACGAGTTCGTTCAAATTCGGCTGTGGTTTGGGCGGTGCCATCGCGTTGGCAGGCGGACAGGATGGCGGGTCGGTCAAGCACTGGGGTCTTCCTCCACACTCCAACCTTTGACATTGGTCTTGCAGGCCGTTGTGCTTGACGCAGTCGCACCCGTGGATAAGGTAGCCTGCTCTAAGCTCGTTGGGCGGAGCTCTGTTCATGTACGTCCCTCCTGCCTGGACGTACTCCAAGCACCGGTTGTTCTCGTAAATGTGGTCTGCGAGGTTTGAAGTCGGTCTTATCTCTTTCACCTGCACGTTCGTTATGAGCGGAACGTAAAACGGTTTGTTGAACTTGGGGTTCAGACGGTTGATGTACCCAGGGTACTCGATGAGAGGGCGGGATCCGGCCGGTTCGCATGAAGTACCTCCTCTGTCTTCCAAGCACGGGGTATCGTCAAGTCTGTCCAATATACACTTTATCTGGTTCAGGTAGTTCATTCGCCTTTCCCCCGTCGCATGACAAATCGCTGCGTTATGTGCCATCTTCCTTCTTTTTCTTTATGAGTTCGTATAAAATTGTGTGTATGTGTGAGTGTATGTGTAATGTGTGTATGTGTTTGTGTTTGTGTGTGTATGTGTATTTTTAGTGTATTTCTTGAACTTGAAAGTGGTGTAACTTGAATTGAACTTGTACTTGAAATTCACCGTGCGTGAATTGTGAAGTGATTAAGATCACATGTTCACCTTCTGTTGTTCTTTTTATTAAAAAAATCAGCTTATTTTTTAAATTATTATTTTTTAATACGTTTTTATAGAAAATATTCTTTGTACGAAAAATTGTGCCCTTCGACCACCGTTAAACAAAGTAAAATATTTAAATATTTGACAGAATAACAATATAAGTCATAGTTTAACTTCATTTTATACGTTGTAACCTACATGCCTATTATACTTCGTACCAAACTGTTTTATCTGGCATTATTATTATTAGAGAATTAAACTAAGTACAAATGCTACACACATAAGATGGGTTGTATATATGGTTGGATGTGTATAAAGTTGTGACATATTTAACAAGCTATTTAAGTTTTTCAGAACTAATACCAACAGAACATAGCAAGTTATAAGTTGTTTAAAAAATATTACATATAAATGGTGAGCAAACAGAAGAAACGCGAAGAAAGAAAATAGCAAAATAGTAACTGGTATCAATCCTAGTATCAGTCACTGACAAAAACCTGACACTCCTTAAAGGTCACCACCTTCAATAAATTTATATATCTATTTCAAAAACATAGTCATTTGGCGTCGGTGGCCGCAACGGTTTAGTGGTTGACACGGCGCTCATCACCGTAAAGTAAAGGTCCCGGGTTCGAATCCAGCGGCCCTGCATTCGAACCCGACATTCAAAAAGAAATGTCCCTTGTTAATGAAAATGTTGAAAAGGTCAAATTGAGACACTGCAACGTCCTTTATCAATTCTTACCTTGATAGAATGGTAGGATTTTTCTCTGTTTAGTAGGACGGAACCACCAATTGAATTGACAGATTTTTGTTAAATATAAATTAACTAACTTGATTCGAAGAATTTTGACCATCGAGGATATCATAGACTATTTTTAATTGCTATGTGACATATGTAAGGCAACAGTGACAGTTCTTACCATTCGAGAATATAATTTGGACAACAGTTATTGGTATTTAAATGAAATATATAACAATAAATTAGTGGTTTTCTCTTTGGGTTTGCGGGTTTCTAGCTGCCTTGATTTCTCACCCTGACACACCGCTGGAGCTGAAAGTCTGACAGACCAAAACGAACTACAGGTTAATCATCTTACTTAATCTTGGAACATTCTTTGGTTTATAGATTGAAAAACAAAGAAAAGGCAATCTTTCTTTTTCTTTTAAATAAGAGCTCGTGAATAGGTATCTCGTTAAAACATTATAAACAAACCTAGCACTGATGGCAGAAGCCGAAATTGGTCTAACAAATAAAAATAAGGATTGGCCAGACTAAAAGACCAAACTACAAGTTTACCACCCGGCAGATATCAAGAGTAAATATCTGAGATTGTCATTTGACAACCATAGCTCTTCATAGTTTGGAAAGGACATCATCAGGAATGAGCCAACTTAGGAGTAGCAGATTGAGAATACATATTCCGAATAACATTGAATTCTTTCATTGGGAGAATACCTGAAAAGGTTCTCCCTCTACAATGAGAAATTATTTCATAGTAGGTTCTGGTAGGTTCTGCTTTTCTACAGTACACAATTTCATACTCTCGTCAAAAAGTCTTTTTCATTTCCTTGACAAAGCGTCTTCGCTCTGAGTTATGCATGACCAAGGGGTTTAAGTATGTGTGGTGGCAGTAAAAGTTCTAGCGCTTTTAGAGAAGCTTTTAGATCTGTTGTTCTGTGGATTCTTTGTTATGCCTGAGGTTCTAATGTTTTCGCAATGGCATATTTCCAAGGCGAGGGATGGTGACAATAAAATGACAAACATACCATTTGACCTCTAAATAATTGATTGATAAGTACGTTTTAACTCTTATTATCGTTGGTTATTTTAAGTTGATTATTCCTACTGCTAAGTGAATTGGTGAATCATCCCATTAGGCTGAATAGAAATTTATTTCCTTTGGTGAAAAAACAAACACATTGGGGAAAGAAATTTATTTCCCTTACTGGAAAAAAAACACTAGGGAAGGACAATTTCCTTTGGTTTGACCAAAGTTATTAATGAATTTGAAATATAGATTTTCCAAGTGTAGTTGAACCTTTCCCAAGTCAAGTGAAACCCTTTACAAATCAAATGTAACCGTTTCCATATGATTTCAAACCCTTTCCAAGTCAAATGTGCCCCTTTCCTTATGAGTTCAAACCTAGACCAAGTCAAATATAACGTTTCCAAATGATGTATGTGGAGTTTAGTGACCGACATTCCAATTCAAATTTAACTTTTCCAAATCAGTTTAAACCCAGTCCAAGTCAAATGTAATCCTTTCCATATCATTTGAAATCCTTTCTAAGTCAAATGTAATCTTCCAAATGAGTCCAAACCCTTTCCAAGTGAAATCTAATCATTTCCATATTATTTGAAACCCTTTCCAAGTCAAAGGTAACCATTTCCATATGGGTTGAAATCTTTTCCAAATCGAATATACCACTTTCCGAATGAGTTGAAAACCAGACCAAATGTACCCCCTTTCGTATGAGTTAACACACTTTCCAAATCATGATTAGCTGAAATAAATCGTCCCACTTTTTTCTTCAACATTAACAGTTCAATCATGACGTTTTCCTCCAACAGGCGTGAAGAGCAGGTCAAATCCCCCCCCCACCAAGGAAAAAAAATACGATCCATCATTTTTGAACTACCAATCTTATGTTGGACATACACGATCCGTTCTACCCGTCGTGCGATTCGTTCACGTAGAAAAAAAAACGCGTATGGGCGAAAAACTCCAGGTCGCCCACCGTTCCGTGTACCGAAAATAAACCTTCGATTTAATGCGTGAAGACGCGCGAAACTGTCAAATATTGTCTCATCTGACGGTGGTTTTTCGTTTATCACGTCAGACAAATTGATTCTTGTCGCGACTTAGAACCACGCTCGAAACATATTTGAAGAAGTACTGTCTCCAGCTGGTTTCGTTTCACTTCAAATCTATTTGCACTTGGAAAAATTAGACTGCGTACAAAAGCAATTAAACCATAGTACTATAAGCAATCAGGCTTGATAGTCAATAAAAATAAGAATTACTAGGATCCTTAAAAGTATGTGGGTTTCTAACTGGTTAATTGGGGATGAAAAATCATCCAACTTGGTAAAAAATGGATACAATAATCCAACTGCAAACTACAAGTAAAATTTTAAATATCTGTGTAAGTAAAACTTAGAAATGAATAAATTAATACAATTTTATTATTAACTAATATAAATTAATTATAACTCTTGGAATTCCAAATCAAAACATTTTCGTTTTAAGCCTATTTGAAACCTTTCCGAAATGGCCGAAAACCGTCTTTGTCTTTCGTTAACCTCTCACAAAACTCTGGAGACAAGTCCACTTCTCTTCTATTAATGCGCCCAAATCAGCATTAAAAGGCGTTTAGCCTGCCCTCAATTTTTACAAATTTCATTCTTTTTCTGGTCTTTACCCGACTTATTTTGAATTGATGGGAACCTACCTGAAAAGCCTCGGTCACCGCGAGAAATATAAGTCCATCATTCCCCAACGTTTCCTGGATCAATCCTTCTTCCTTATTACATGTATTTATTGGCTTGCAGATTCGTTACAGGTCCTAACTGATAATCAATATAAACAGGACTAAAGTGTTGTTTTGATCTTTGACTCCCCAATATTTTGTACTTTACCCAGTTGGACTCTTCTGTTTTGTCCCTCCTGTTTACTCAGATGGTATGTAGGTTCTGGATAACTTTTTTTGTATTAACACCAAATATATCTATCTGTAATTTCTTTAGTATACATTGGGACATTAATTTTTAATTATTCAATTAATTATACACAATCTTTTTCGAAATGAAAAATTTGAGCCACAGGCGGTGTTCGAAAAGTTTGTGGCATGGGCGATCGAAGTCACGGTAGCTCAAGTGGTAGAGCAACGGCCGAAGGTCGTGGGTTCGAATCCCCCTCGTGACACTGACTTTTTTATCTCAACCAATACCTGATTAAAGATTAATTTCTTGAGTAGTATTCAATATTTATTTTTAAACCCTTCATTCTTTAAGTATCTTCGCTGGGTTGGTTGTTCTGAGTGATGGTATAGTTTCGCAATAACAGAAAAGTTTGTTTACTCTATTTAATTATATACTCAGGCACACTGAAGATGGCGAAATGCTGAACCGCATCCGAGAAACCAACCCTGTAAGGATAAGCAGACCAAGACGATCAGTATCGATCAAATTTAAAAATTTCAAAGTGAATTTTCCCTCTCGTGGTAAGAATGAATGTGGAGGTCTAGTCTTGGTTCGGGATAACTTTTTTTACATTGAACACCAAATATATCTATCTGTAATTTTTTTAGTATACATTGGGACATTAAGTTTTAATTGCTCAAATTAATTATGCACAATTTTTTCGAAATGAAAAATTTGAGCCGCAGGCGGGGTTCGAGAAGTTTGTGGCATGGGGGATCGAAGTCACTGTAGCTCAAGTGGTAGAGCAGCGGCGTGTTTAGCGGAAGGTCGTAGGTTCGAATCCCGCACGTGACACAAATTTTTCATTTCAAAAAAATTGTGTATAATTAATTGAGTAATTATATAATTAAGAATAAGCTGATAAAAATAACTAAAAGGTTAGTATTAATTTTTAACTCTTCCGATAATTTAGGACAGTTTACGCAGTTTTTTAATAGTTTGAATATAAAATTTACATCACAGATAGTTCTTCTACTTTCAAGCGTATCTATATTCAATATAGTTCTTAATTCTGAGTGTGATTTGTTTTCTAAAGGAATACTGGATTTAAATGGAAGATATTTAAGAAACTTATTTTGAACTTTTTCGATTCTTTGGATGGAAACCTAGGTAGTGTGGTGACCAAACTTAATTAAATATTCTCTTTGCTGGTGGAGTTTGGATTGTACTATTCAAATTAAATCAATTCTCAATGTTTTAAACATGTGTAAATGACGGTTGACTTTTAACAGAAGCCATTTTATGGTTCTGCTCAGACCTAGCATTGGGAGAACGAAATCTGACATCAGTATGGTTACATGTACAA